AATAAAATATAAAAAACGTTTTCTACCAAAATAACTGGAAAAAAGGAAAATTAGAATTAAAATCGATCTCAAAGATAAATTTGTTGTAATTTTGTAATATAAATGATGATGATGATGCTAATATTGATGGAAATGATGACATTACACTCTCTTCCCCTTGCGGAGGGATGCTTCACGGGTAGTTTCTAGGGCTGACCCATACGCCGTGTCACGAGCCAGCGCGCGATACCAAATAATTTATATTGGCAGGAAAAGTTACAGAATTGGGTTTGGAAGCTGGAAGGGCTCATGTCTATCACCTCAACCCGCCTCTTCGCGCTTAGTTACGCATATTTTAATAAAAGGCCGCCACACGATTCTCCCAATCATCTCTGTGCCTGGCAACGACCGCTCATCTCGCACAGCTTAAAACTCCAGCCAAAAGCCCGCGTAATTTCGATGACTTATCAATTGCGATTTTTGAATTCTATTTAGTTAGGTTCAACACAATACAATAGGTTCGAAAGATTTTAAAGTCTGAATCTTTGTCAAACTAATAGCATTAGAATTTTATTGGCACCAATCAATGCATTCAAAAGGGCGCAACGGCAGGTGTGATTCCGTTCTGTAAAAAAAATGACAAAGAAAAARCAATGACAAACCTGAAAGTCAAATAGCCAAAACTCTTGTTAACTTTACAAAAATGAAAAACTTAAATATAGAAACATGTTTTTGCTCTTGAAGCCTTTGTTTTCCCATCGATGTTATGTTTCGCTAACCGATTTTGAATATGCATTGAAATGGCTTTTATGCATTTTAATGGTTGCCAGTATGACATATGAGTGGCTGCACTCGAGGGGCTCCCACTCTCTTTCAAGCAGCGTTCGATCTATACTATAACTTTGATTCCAGATAAATTCAAATGAAGAAATTAGTGTAGTATTTCTTTATATCAAAACTTTATATGCTTTCATCATACTTGAAATGACAACGTGAAGAAACCGTGAGTTTTTATTTTTCATTCCAATCTCTGAGATGAAACTTCGGTGCTTAGCAATAATGCCGTATTTGAGTGATTAAAGCTCTCAACTGAAGTATATCCTCAATATTTTGAACTCTAAATCGAAGATTAAATTTGAAAAAGATGAAGAAAATTGAAGAAACGAAGTAAACAGGTCCGAAAAACTATTACGGAGTTACAAAAGCAGAAAGACTGTTTTCTTTTTATAAAATGACTTCTTTTTAAGAGTTCGCTTTTGATTCGCAATTTTCTTTTTTTGTGGTAATTCAATGCATATAAATTTGTCTAAAAACTTTAAATTTTCGTCGGAAATTCACCACGAGGTCTCTTTTGTACAAGCTTTGTTTCGTCGTCATTGGCAACACCACAAAAGTTAGCCTTCAAAGCAAAAATGCATTCAAACAGAAAAGACAATAACAGCGACATTAATAAAAAGAAATTTAACGGTTTGAGTCCACCATACAAACTATGAATTTAAATTCAGATAATCGTAAAAAAGACATGCGACAGGAACAGGTTAACGGCCACAAGTTTGCAGGTTGCAACAATGTGATGCTGTCAAATTAAATTATAATGTTTCCTGAAATAACGTGTATTGTAAGGTCTAACCAAAGAAAACCCTATTCCTGTACAAAGGTACAACTACATTTCTTATCAACAATCCGTCTTAAGATACTTTTTTAAGAGATATGTTTTTGATTTAGGCATCAATTTGTAGAACAAAGATTGATGACAGCACTAAAAGTAGGAACATCAATTAGCAATTCTGATATTATTACGTATTTTCATGGRGAAAACAAATTGATCTAACTAAAATTTTATAGTTTCACTGCTGAATACGAATAAAACCTTGTTTTTGTACAAAAGATGTCCTCTTTGTTAGAAAAAGCGGGGAAATTCTTCTTCACTGGCCTTTTTGATGGAAATCCTTCTTTATACATAAAGCGCAGCTGACCAAGCTGGATACTCTATACTTTTGTTGTCGGAGATGACTTATAAAATTCAAATCAGTTAGAACACATTAATTTTTGTACTGCAACACTTTGTAATTGTTTCAAACGCTTCATATCTTCACTCTTTAATCATTAATAAAATTTTATTCGACATTAGGATAAGTGTCCATAAATTCGTCTCAATAAACACCTTTTCATGTCAAGAACTCCCCTTTTAACCATCCTTATTTACAAAACCTCTATGTAACGTAACGCTTTGTTAGCATCATACTGTATCAGTAAGGTCTGGTATACATCCTGTAAAAGATGGTCGCAACAATCTTGATTTTCTATACCACYGCAAAAGAAATGACATTCTTAGACGCTGTTGTATCCCCGGCCGAAGACGACGTATTTTGAAGAACTTTTTGGTCCCAAATGTACTTTTGTCCTCGCACTTTTAAAATAGTTTCAATAAAATGTCTACGTACGGATATGGGGTCGTATTCGTGTCGACCATTAGGGTTGTGGCACTCGTTTCTGACGCATCCACAAGGAAAGTTATCCCGGTCGACTTGACAGTTGATGCCATTCAAAGAACAACTACACGATTTGGGATCACAATAGTCTTTACAGTCACATCCACAGATCTGCCTTGAAAATCGAATTTGCATACACTCTAGAGCCTCTTGTTTATCTATTTTTTTCACACCCGCATCTTTTAAAATAGCTTTTCGAGTCTTCTGYGGAATTGGCATAAACATATTCGTATCGTCGTCTTCGTCTTCATCGTCACTGTCGCTCGAGTAGCAAAAATCTAAATCATCTTGATCGTTGAATTTAAAATGTTCGACRAAAGCGTGCTGTCGCTTCATCCCTAGAGTATAGCCACCGTTCGAAGGGACGCAACTGCTTCCTTGTGTACGGGGAAAATGAAATACTACCCTCTGRTCAAAGCGAACTCGCTTTGCTCCTTTCGACGAAGTCGAGTCGTTGGAATCAACGCTGTCGTTGCTTTCGACGCTTTGAGAATCATCTTCGATTTTTCTTTTTAACATGTTATTATTATATTTCCAGTCGTTTTGATATCCAGTGTGTTTTTCTTGCCAAGGCGGTAGCGGTCTTATTTTATGTTTTACCTAAAACAGGTGCAAGCGCTTAGGCCGCATTTCAATTGGCTATAATAGTCATTGTTTTCTAGCTCGCTGATTGGTTGGCTCGTGTAAAGAGCCATTCTTTATTCATTATGATTGGCTGAGTGGTTGTCCATTGACATCGGGAGTGTATCGTAACTACATATTACTAGACGCCGATATGAGCGTATGTGACGTCTATTTTAAGCACATGGTCACGCCTATAGCAATTAATTTATAAATAGATAGTGAATCAACCAAATTATGCCAAAACATCTCTTTATATATACCGTACGCGTGTCAGTTAGCATTCTTTTGGTTTCCACTGACGTTGACTGAAATGTGATTTTGACTTTCGGTTTTTGTAACAGAGAAACCGAATTATTCTACTTTGACCTGCTATTTTCATAAAGAAAGAGTATAAATCGAGAATTTATTAAAAAAAGCCAAACGTCCATATTAATACAATTTGTTTCTCTATGTGGTTAGTGATTTCTACCGGGCACGCACATCAGTATCACATGCAGACTTTCATAAGTTTTTTTCCACGTTTTTTCCACTTGTATAAGACTTTTAGACAACCAAAAAATATAACAAAAATACTTTCTCTGACTCTTTGTAACAGTCACTAAGCTCTTTTTCGTTAATCCAGTGATCATTTTCAATTAATCTTTAAAGTGAATCTGGACTTTCAACTTTTTTTATTCTCTCCATTTTGTTTCCTTTTCCATCCCTTCACTAGCGTTTTTCTCTATCGTCCTTCGCACACTTGTCGATCTAAAAAACTTTACCGGATAGAATTTTGAATGTATGACAGAACTTAGATAGTAGTAAATATTCAAGTTTATTCAAACGAAAGCTAGGTCTGGTCATTTATAAGCAATTTGTATTTTCGGTTTTTTTACATGTAAGTCAGGCATCACAAAGCAATATTTTTTTAACTGTTAAATATAATTAATAAATTCAAAAAATAGATAGTTTGTTCATAAATTACTTCATTTTGACGGAGGCGCACAGTTCGACATTAGCCGAGAAGCGTCTTACTTCTATGCTGTGCGCTTCTYCACCACCGGCTGCACATCAAAGTTCACTTGAATTTCGATCAAAATGTYTCAAGCATTTTTACAAATTAAGCAATAAATGTGATGTCACTGTTTCCATTAGTCCACCTAAAATTCCAGCGCACATTGTAAGCCCAAAGCCAGACCTCATTAAACCGACCAAGTGGTCTTTAACTCCTCGAGTAGCTTCCCTTGGTCGGAGGAAGCCATGTTCTTTGTTGACTGTCTCCTTCACTATCTGGACTTCTTCTTCCAGATATTTCATCCTTTTCTTGCTGAAGTAATCCCTTTCTAACATTTTTACTTTCCAGTTCTTCTCATATTTTAGTTTTTCAAAGTTGGCGGCTTGTCGTATGCTTTCAAGAGAGTTATCATCAATAGCCTTTGCGCAACTTTCCTTCGCTTCTTCTATCAAAGTAGCAATGCGGGAGCACTTCTCTTGTGCAAAGTTGATGTCTCTATCTATCTTATTTAAYATGGTTTTCAGCTTTTTAGAGCTTCCACGAACTGTTGCCATCATTATTTCTGTACTATTATTTGTAATAAGTCGCAGAARAATTGCGTTTGCTTGTAAAGGTTTGACAAGAAAGTCTTTATGATGTAATAGCTCGCGCCATTACGTGCAAGATGAAAARCGCGCGCAAAAGAAAACAAGCATCAAGGAAAAAGAAAACTTCAAGTAAAACTCCTACTAAATATATACATAAGTACTTTATTCTTATAATAAATTAGATGACTATACATTAATAAAATACTTTGCTATSTTCTTGTTTACAACTCTTGCTTCATTATAAGCAACAAACCTTTTCGAAATGGCAGGTGATGCTTTGCTACAGCCCTTTACATCGAAGAAGATTTGTACTCGTTTCAATGGAGTTTTAGTCTATAAGGTACTGACGACACTACTTAGTTTTACYCTTCAAACAGTGTCGAATTCAATGTCGCATTGTTGCTCGTTTTATTTTATTTATTTTTATCGTTATTTTTATGAAGTCCAGTCATCACGATACGTCTCTTGGACAATGGGCTGAAGCAAAAGACAAATTTCTTCCGTTAACATTTACAGCCACTATCCAACGTAAAAATTCAGTTTTGAATGACATCCATCAAGAGCATCTAATTGGTTTGCGGGACGAAAGAACCCATTTGAGTGTTTCCCGCCATTTTTTGACGCGGCCGCACGTCAAATGGCATTCAGTTTTGAGARCATTTGATTGGTTTACTGGAGAACCTACTTGAGTGCTTCCCGCCATTTTAGACGCGCGTCGCAACGACTCATTTTACGCAATTAGAGCATTTCATTGGCTTACTGCACGAAAAAGCCATCCAAGAGTTTTTCGTCCTTTTTCACACGGGTTATCTGACCGAGAAAAAAAAACAAACAAAAAAAAAAAAAGAAGGGAAAGAAACTTACCAATGAATGCAGAAACATCGTCTGATCCTTCGTTTTTTCTCAATTTTCCTGTAATGTGTTTGTTTTGCACAATTGGTAAAAAGAGTTGGATGAACTCGGGCGAATATGGCGGAGCTATCATTTCTAAAACCTATCGAAAAAGATGAACTTTAATTAACATATTATGCAAAACAAGAACAAGAACAAGAAAGCTGACACAAAGCATGGAAGCAGACAATAAAACAAAATGACAACAAAACAAAATAACAACAAATCAGACAAAAGGAATCGAAAAAGCACCCAGTAATAAAAAATACTCAAAAACGTAACGCAGACAAGAAAGCAAAGTGAGCGAGTAAGCCGAAGACTGAATAATAATGCAAGCGAGAACTAAAAACAACATATAAAACATTACCTCAGTAACAAAGTGCCTTATGAGAGAGTTGTCTGTGTCTTGTCCTTTCATACATTTATTRATATAACTTATAACAGGTATAACGTAGCCACGGCTTAGCATATGAACCATTCGGTCAAGCACTGTTTTCTTGAACTCAAGCTACAAAGGCAACAAATATAATTGAACGGAAGCCGTGCCTGCATCACTCCTCAGTTTTCTTCACAAATTTTTGATCCATACACCATTCAGCCTGGTTTTCACTAGCGACGCTAGAGCAGGCGCAGAAGCAAGCGCAAACGCAAGAGGACTTTTTCCATATTAAAAACTGCCCAACGCAGTGAAAAGGAACGCTGCAGCAAGCGCAAGATATCAAATTTTTTCCTTTTCTTCTTGCGCTTGCGCTTGCTCTTGATTTTGGTACTGAAAACGAAACGCAACRCAAGCGCAACGTTTTGCCCTTGCTTAAATGTGAGCTTGCTCTTGCGTCGCTAGTGAAAAACAGGCCTATTTTTACATCTGTATCAATTACAAATAGTTCTTCTTACCTCAACCAGAGTATCGAGTGGCGTTGGAGACTCAAACAATCGTATAAGTAGGTTGAGTACTAATCGATGCTGTAGTGGATGGCAAGTAACAAGCTAGAAATATATGGACAAGTTAGAACGGATTCCACATACCTTGTGAAAATAACTCGGAATCCGGAATCCGACAAAATTCGGAATCCGGAATCCAGACACTTGGAACCCGGAATCCGCGGCAATGGAAATGGGGTCCGACTAAACAAGAGAAAGCCGGAATCCAATGATTATTTCACATGTTTCATACAAAAAGCAAGGATGCTTAGCATTCTGAATCCAATATGGTGGAATATAGAATCCTTGCAAAATTTGTCATGGAATCTGGAATCCAGGAGCTTGGAATCCGGAATCCAGGAACGCTGTGGATTGCGTGTCGTGGAGCAAAACTCATTATACCCACCTACCTCATCAAGCAATGAAAGGTGAACAGGGGTCGAGTCRGTCATGAGTTTGAAGAACGAAGGGTCCGAAACAGTGTAGTCAACCCATTTTAGTATTCCCATGGCAACCACCGGGTATCTGTGACATAAGAACAATACAAGAATTATAGTAAAAATATAAGAAAAACGTATACTGACGATTTGGACGTTAGTTCTTTGTAGGAATAAAAACAAAAAATGCTGTTAAGGTGGTGTTTTTATCATTCATGGTGAGAGCAATAGAAAAGATTAAGCCAAACAAAACAATCAAACAAGCCTTTCCAAGTTCTTTACTTTTGTCATGAAGCAATCCATTATTTCCTAACTTTATCTATCTATAAGACTAATATACTGTACTGCTAGGGCCTGAGCACTACACTTAGAACCCAAGCCCTGGATTAAATTCAGGTTATCCATTTTTATCTTTATCTTAGCGGTTTACTTTTTTCTCAAACTCCTACCTAATACATTGAAATAATGTGCCCACTTCAGACGACAGATGCGATGCACCRCTGCTCTCYTGCATGCAGATATTATGGACTTTGTCTATTGCCTGCGAGGTKGCCTTAAGCTCATCAACATTTAAMGAAAGCCTATGATTCTATCACACAAAAGAAACAACATTTGATTCATGAATAAAACTTAATACAACTGGAAAGAAGTAAACAAGTTTTTTACCTCTTGCCACATTTCATGAACACAAGAAGCAAATGCAAGGAGRTAGATATACTTGAACTTGTGYTCTCTATTAATTTGCTGGGTTGGTTTGAAAAGCGCATCGATTAGGAGATCTACACACATAACAGAAACAACAACAATAACAATAAATGCTATTAATAATGACCAAAATATGCCATGAAGGTATCAAATGAAAGCATGAATCAAAACAATATTCAACTATCAACCTTCAAATAAAATAATCTTGATAACAGTACATGTAGTTTTTGTAAATAAATGCAGTACTTGCAAGGACAACTGAATTGGATACCTACCTAAAAACTGAGGTATTCTCAGAAGATCACAAGGTGGTGGGTCCTCTGAACTATAAAACTTGTACAACTGAAATACAACAACAACAACTTCATACAGTAACTGCTAAATACTA